TGCTACAATGTAAAGTAGTGAGTGTACAGCTTGTGTAACAGTGTAAATTTGCTGTTCCCTCAAAATAACTCAACACACAGACATTAATGTCTAAACCGCTTGCAACAAAAGTGAGTACACCCTTAAGTGAAAATGTCCAAATTGGGCCCAATTAGCCATTTTCCCTCCCCGGTGTCATGTGACTTGTTAGTGTTACAAGGTCTCAGGTGTGAATGGGGAGCAGGTGTGTTAAATTTGGTGTCATCGCTCTCACACTCCCTCATACTGGTCACTGGAAGTTCAACATGGCACCTCATGGCAAAGAACTCTCTGAGGATCTGGAAAAAAAGAATTGTTGCTCTACATAAAGATGGCCTAGGCTATAAGAAGATTGCCAAGACCCTGACACTGAGCTGCAGCACGTGGCCAAGACCATACAGCGGTTTAACAGGACAGGTTCCACTCAGAACAGGCCTCGCCATGGTCCACCAAAGAAGTTGAGTGCACGTGCTCAGCGTCACATCCAGAGGTTGTGTTGAACTGAAAAGAATATGTGTTGTGTTGAACTGAAAAGAACATGAAAAGATATCATCAAATATTTACACAAATGTGAGGGGTGTACTCACTCTTGTGAGATACTGTATACGGGTGTAGAAGATTAAAGACAAACAACACTGTGTGTATTGATGATTACTAAGAGCACATTCTGAATTAGCAAAGTTGTGAATGAGTCTTTATGTTAATAAACATGATGGAAATTAATGTTGGGATTTGCCTAACCAGATTGGATGCATTGGAATGGCAGCTTCTCTTTGTTCAGTTACAAATCAACACAATATGCGCATAATATGTGTCCAATACAAAGTCAAATAAGTGGTGCATTCTGTGCACTATTGTTGAATTCAGGTATGATTGATTCTTGTGTCTTTTCTATTTGTTTCGACTATTGCATAATGTTTTCAGTGGCATAATGCAAAATTTTGGATGGCTATGTGGGGAGGGGGTTAACAGGGGCAAAACTATATTGTCAATGATAAACTACAAAAATGTCAATGATGCACTTTGCAATACAATGTTTAGGAAAGAGAAATTTCTACTTTTCTATACTTCGTGTTACGAATGCAGACTTCCAGTGAGATAATGAACTATGGCAACAAATACAGCTTGCAATCACTCTGTTGTCCCCAAATGCACACATTTATGCCAGTACCCCACTAGGCTTGTCAGAAAGTAATGGCTTTGTGCTATTCACCAGGATGAGGGTGATTTTTAAAGGGCAGTACACATGAGTGTAACCAGCATTTGGATTACTTAAAAACCACTTGCTGTACATGCCTAAAACATGGGGCTATCCCAGACATTGGCAAATTATGACATATTTTTTTTAATCCTTTTTGTTTTATCCATTGTTAACCCATTTACTGTTTATTTATTTATTTATTTATTTATTTATTTATTTATTTATTTATTTATTCTGCTGCTCTCCGATAGATGGCACTGTGAGGCTAGACCTGCTCTGTTCACAGTGTTGAATCAAATGTTTTCAAACATACAAGAATGCTTGTTTCATTCAGCTCATTTGAACTGAAAAGCCCCAAAATCTTTGAACTACAATGAATACCATTATTGATCACAGTTAACTGATCAGCATCTGTCCTATGCTGTGGATTTCAACATATAAAATGACACAAGACTTTACTGCTCTACTGCAAAGATAAGTGCATCATAGAACTCCAAACTAGTGGGAGAAGGGTAGGGTGTCCTAATAATAGCGTACTTCTAACTTTGTACAATAGGCCTGCTTAAGTTCAGTCAATAAAATGCACACAATGAAATGCAACCACATTAACCACCGTTCTTAATATAGCATAGGCACAGAATCTGAGATAAGCTCAGCTTTTTCTTAATAATGTGTGTAGTGAACATAAGCAAAATGAACACATTAGTGATTTGGTTCACATTCCTTGACTGGCATCATGAATGTTTTCTGTGATTTTATTGTGTTGTGCATAGCATTGTGTTTTCATACACCATTAAAGGGATATTCCAGTGCTAAAGCAAACGGCCTTGCAGTCATCAATATTAACCTTGTGGATTCTGGGCAGATTTCATATCATTGATGATTTTGTGTTAAGTAAATCAAAAAGGGGCAGGTTTTAGATTTAGGGCATAAATATGCTCAAAGTTGCATTTGTGTGCTTCTTATTTTAAGTGCAATAGTATTATTATTATTATTATTATTATTATTATTGCTGTTGTTGTCATCATAATCTTGGAGATTAGCTTCTTTTAAATTCTCTTTTTAATTGTGTTATTTTACTTGTCTATTTAAATCTATTTATTTTTCAATTTCATTTCAGTTTAGCTATTTGTTTGGGTCTTGGTTTTGTAAATATATTTTTTTACACAGTGTGGGGAAAAAAGTCCACACACATACATAAAGTAGCAAGTTTTGTACAAAATAGATTGGTATTTAGATCTATCCATGATTCCCTCTATTTTGACTGGAGCCCCAGTCCTAGCTGAAGAAAAGCAGCCCCATAGCATGACACTGCCACCACCATGCTTCACTTTGGGTGATAAGGCATCTTGTTTTTGCCTCAAATATATCTTTTAGAATTTTGCCCAAAACTTCTACCTTGGTCTTACAAGGTACCACATTTTGCTACATGGTTTGGGGTGATTTAGGCAAGCTTGGATGTTTTTTTTGTTTATTTTTTTTCATGAGAAAAGGCTTCTGTCTAGCCACCCCATATCTCCCATATCCCAGACATCCCTGCAGTTCCTTTAATGTTGCTCTTAGTAGCCTCCCTTAAAAGTTTTCTTCTTGTACATTTGTCTATATTGATGTTCCATGGTACCACTCTCCTGAATGACATCTTTCAACAATGAGATACTGAACATGCTTTGTAGGCTCTTGTGCATCATGGCTTCAGCAGTCAGATGAAATCAAGAAGAAAGAATGAAAGTCAATAAAATCCTACAAAAACAGCTGATTATTATTGGGGGTTAATCAGAATCACTTCATTGAGGACAGGTGTATGTTAATTACTTTTGAACATGAGTTTGAATGTGATTGGTTAATTCCGAGCACAGTCATATACCCCATTATACATTCCCCTCTGAAAGTATTGGAACAGCAAGACCAATTTTATTCTATACATTGAAGACATTTGGGTTTGAGATCAAATGCTATGCTAAATTCAGCACAGACTAATGTTAAAATCACTACTCTCCCTGTCTACTTGTTAGATTGTACAGGCCATGTGAAAGTGAACAATGAGCAGATAACTTAGTGTAGAAGCTCCGCTTAAGCTTGATATGTCCACAAATTTTTCTCCAGCTTGAAAAATGCATTTAGTTTAGTGTCCTTCTATTGTTTCTGCCCACTAGGCATACAACGTTTTCTGTTTATTTGGAACTAAATGTAGATGTATGACAACCATCTGTGTGTCTTCTTGTTGATTCATGGGAACTGGGAAGCCAGGGTTGAAGCATTTTTTCAGAAAAATATGAAGCAGTGATTCTTGCGGTTTAAGACCAATGCCATTAGGGATTCATGGGAGAAGACATCTCAATGGATTCAAATGTTCAGTCAAGAATTTCTGTTTAGCTATTAGGTAAATAATCCTAAACCATCTTCAGGATGGTTAGTTCACATTAGTCACAGCAGCAGTCATTTTTCTTAGCTTTTGTGGCCTGCATTTTTTCTCATGTGTTCTATGTTTGGATCAGATCTCACAGAGAGTTGAACGAAGTATATCCTGGTCCCGTGAGAACGCTGGTTTGCCCATGCTCTAACACTGTGCAGCCTTGGGGTGTCACCCCAGTGGTAAACTGAAGTAAGGCCCTGATGAAACAGCACAACTGAATGTCCTTTCACATGGCTGAAAGGCTTATCTGTGTCTTTCACTCCTGCGAGCCCTGGAGATGTTAAACTCAATGATGAAACATTAATTACACCAACAATGACTTATATCTCTTTTTCTACGAGAGAGGAACAGAATACATATGACTTTGTTATCAGATGGCATGGCATCATTCTTGTGTAGAAGAGGTTGTTTCTGTCTTTTCTTGGAAGAAGATACTTCCCTATTCAACAGTGTCATAGGCTGGCTTTGCATTACACTTTATGAATTTGCGTTTCTAAATATATTTTTGGATGGGTAATCCACTTTGGTGTGCCCAAAGAAACAAGAAGAGCTGTAAGAGGGGAAAAAAAGTTACTGGATGGCTTTTTAAAAAAAATTATTTAGATTTGCTTAGATTTAACATTAAAAAGAAATATTTTATTTATATCATCATTACTTTTATTCATATCACCAGGAGCATCCTTCTTTTAAGGATTTATGCCATTTAGTTTTGTTTTCTGATCATTTATAAATGATTAAAATGTAAAATGTCCCTAAACTGGAAGAACTATTAATATTATTAATAGTTATGATTTAAATGCTTCCAAAATAATCACAATATTAGATATTATCATGAAATACCAAGTGTTTGTTGGGTCTGTATAGGTGTGAGTCACACTCTGGCTGTAAAGTTCTTGGTTCTTGTCTGGTTCTCATAAGTGAATTGATGGACCCATATATATGAAAGCCAAAATATCTTCCAGATTATTATGAGTCAAGTCACCTTAATTTTCTAGACCCTCCACACTGTCTTTATTGTATCTGCATTTATGAGAGTCAGTTTGTATATTTTGTGTGTGCTTTTAATTAGATATGCACCGATATATCGGCCAATACCAATTAGGCTGTTTTTCACGCTATCGGTCAATAGTTATGATCAGGGCCGATTATATCCTGTCAATCAAAAGAGGGTGGGAAAACACATCGATTTCGTGCTGTGTGTAAAGATGATGTCTCTTGTGTGGAATGATGACAAAACTGCAGTTTGTAAGTTCTGTAAGCTCTGCACTGCTAAAATGTTACACCGGAAGTGAGCAGCAGTGAAGAGGCGTTGAGTCAATTGTTGTTGTTTTTTTGCTTAGCAACTGCATGAATTATATCACATGCAAAGTCAGTGCTGAGCTCAGCGGTTAATACGTTGGACTTCTGATCATGAGTCATGAGTTCAAATCCCAGCACTGCCAAGCTGCCACTGTTGGGCCATTGAGCAAGGCCCTTAACCGCCCAATTAAATAGATGAGATAGTCGCTCTGGATAAGGCGTCTGCCAAATGCTGCTGTAATGTAATGGTGAATAAAGTGAACTTATACAGTGGGGGAAATAACTATTGTACACATCAACATTTTTTTCAGCAAATATATTTCCAATGAGGCTATTCACATGAAATTTTCACCAGACTTTGGTATTAACTCAAGAAATCTGGAAATATAAAGAATTCACAACATTAAAATCCATAAATAAAGTTGACAGGAAAAAAGTATTGAACATGCTAAAAAAGAGCAGTTCTCCATGGAAAGGTAAGGCAAGGAACCAGCTGAAATATGTAAGTAATTATACCCCTATCTGTGCAAATTAATATCAGCTGGGTTAGTAAATTGATAGTTTATTCATTACCATTGTGTCACACAAGAAACATCTCATGATGGGTAAAACCAAAGAACTCTCCCAAGACCTTCAGAACCTTATTGTTGTGAAACATTGTTGGAATCGGATGCAGTTGTATCTCAAAACTTCTGAATCTTTCTGAATCCTAAGCACCATTGGGGCCATTATCCACAAGTGGAAGCAACATCAGTCCATCATCAACCAGACATGCACAGGAGCTCCTGACCAGGGAGGCAGACGAATAGTCAGAAGAGTAGCCCAAGAGCCAAGGACCACTCAGAAAGAGCTCCAGAAACACTAGGAGGCAGCAGGTGCCATCGTCACAGAGAAAACAATAGGCAATGCATTACACTGCTCACATTCACCCCAGAAGACTCCATTACTAAAGAAAAAGCATATCGAAGCTCATTTAAAGTTTGCTACAATAAAGGGATTTATTGTATACTTTATGGAGTTACAGACACTTCCCACTTAATTTTTTGTGCCTGTTATTGGATTTTACAATATCTTTATAACCAGCGACAGTTATTGGATAGCCATGATGAGCCAGGGGGGTGGGTTGTGGGTTTTCGATATTTTTAACTTTGTTTTCCTTTGTATAAAAAGAAAAAAAAAACCTGTGAATGTTTACTGCTGTTGTGCAATGTAGAAATGTTTAGTAGAAATGTTCAGCAGAAATGTTCAGCAGAAAGGTTCATCAGAAATATTTAGCAGAAATGGTCAGTAGAAATGTAGAAATGTTCTGTAGAAATATTCAGCAGAAATGTTCAATAAAATGAAACTATAAAAAAAAACGTTTGCTACAACTTATTTGCACAAGCCTTTGAAATACTGTGAGAGTGTAGTCTGGTCAGACAAGAGCAAAATGTAACTTTTTGGCTGTCATACTACACACCATGTTTGGAGAAGAAATTGGACTGAACTATACCAACAGTGAAGTTTGGAGGTGGAAGCATCATGGTGTGGGGCTGTTTTTCATCGCATGGTACTGTCAGACTCCATTTAATTGAAGGAACAATGAATAGAGCCCTTTACTGGAAGATTCTTGAGAAGAATCTACTGCCATCCACCAGGACGTTGAAGATGAGATGTGGGTGGAGCTTCCAGCAGGACAACGATCCAAAGCATACAGCAAAGGAAACTCTCAATTGGTTTCAGAGAAAGAAAATCAAGGCGTTAGAATGACCATCAATCACCTGATTGAATCCAATTGAACAAGATTTAAAGACAATATGTTTAGAAGAATGGGGAAAAATCACACCTGAATACTGCAGCGGATTAATTTCTTCATACAGGAAGCGTCTTGAAGCGGTCATTACAAACAAAGGCTTCTCCACTATATAAATTTCAGTTAGCGTGTTCAATACTTCTTTCCTGTGTCATTCCACTTTATTACACATAACTTAATTTATGGACTTTAATATTGTGAATTCTTTATATTTCCAGATTTCTTGAGTTAATACCAAAGTCTGGTGAAAATTTCATGTGAATAGCTTCATTGGAAATATATACTGCTTAAAAAAATAAAGGGAACACTTAAACAGCACAATGTAACTCCAAGTGTTCCCTTTATTTTTTTTGAGCAGTTTATTTACTGGAAAAAAATGTTGACGTGTCCAATACTTATTTCCCCCACTGTATAATAATAATAATAATAATAATAATAATAATAATAATAATAATAATAATAATAATAATAATAATAATAATAATAATAATAATATATTTGCTATACCTTCTGCACCATTGCTTCTGGAGCCCCCTGGAACGACAGGGAACCCTGGCGCTTATCCAGCATTCATAGAAACGCAGTTATACAGTATTCATAACTAGCATTCTATTTCACCCCTTCTAACCATGAGGGTCAGTGTTTAATACATGGATACCCCTGGGCCACAAGCTCAGGAAGAACCAACTTACCTATGACCACCTGGGAAGGTGTTCAGAGATGATCACTACACTCCAGTTAGGAATTACAATGTTGACCTTATGGAACCTGGAGAAGGTACATCTCTGCTTAGAAAGAGGAGCACCCTGTATCTACACACTGTGACAGATGACTAACTGGTCCATGCATTTCAAACTCCTACTGGACACAGAACATTCTGCAGATTGACCTTTAAAGAGTGCTGCAAGGTCAGTCACCTGGTTCACAAATTTGGATGACATACACAAGGCCATTCCGGAGTCATCTGGCAGTCCACTGCATGCATGGCAAGCCTATCACCATGCAATTCTCTTATCTTTCCTTGCTGAGGTGATCGCCAAAGGTTGATCACAGGAAGGCTGTTTTCAATGAGACTCATTTCATATCAACATCCAGAATGGGTCCTTGGAGAGAGGGAACTCCAACATGAGTTCCAACATGGCAGATGTAGGCATCTTGCTCCTCTCAGTAATGCTGATATGAGCTTATGAGCACAGTGCTGTGATGGGCTAAAATGGCTGCTACATACATACACCCTCAGATTAGATGCATTTGGCAGTGGGGTGCTCATCATTTCTGGTACAGTCCACAGCTATGTATAGCAGGGGTTCCTAAAAATGGAAATGATGAAATTTCTGCATCCCCAAACATGACTACTCTTTTTATTCCAGATTTTCAGACTACTGTAACATTTGAACATTCGTATGTGTGACACATGTATGTGTAACATAAGTGACTAAAAAGTCCTAACTGTAATATACTGTAAGTACTATCTGCAATATACAGTAAAAAACTGGTTAGTGTTAGTACTCAATAACTGTCTAGAATAGTACATATGCAATTTGAGACACAATGCTAATTTGTTTGCTGGAGGTAGATGCACAGGAAAGTTTTTATTTCTATTTCTTGTTTGTAAAGTTTCTATTGCTGAATTCCTATGCTTGGTGCAGCATGTCAGGATAGTGAAAAAGACTAAAGAAGTTTCTATTGTGAGAATTTGTAAATCAAGTAACCCCAGATGGATTTGTGACCCCTAGTTTAGGAAATCCTGGTGTAAACCTGAATACTAGGGCCTATAGCATTCAGGCTTGTTTTGTGGACTCCTTAGTTGCAGTCAGTGAGCAGTGCACTGCTCTGGGAGCCAAACCTACAAGCACAGATATGCGGGCCAGGGTGCCACAATTTCTCTTTCACGAAATAAAGTCAGCCTGTTGTGGAGGAAACACAGGAAACCAGGTTCTTGTTGGTCATTTTGGGGCCACTAGTAGAACTCTGAATTCTTTGCAACATGGGCAGCAAGTTTTTGAACAGTACAGTAAATTGCTATTTACCCAATATACACATTTTACTGATAATTTACTAGTAAATTGCTCTCAGTGAGGCTCATCATTGGTGAGCCCACTTGAGGAGATTCGTATGAGCTGGAGAATCCTCTTCAACGTTGTGCAGCTCTGGTGATTTATGTATCTGACCATTACTATGTTGTCCAAGTGGATCAGGATATGACAGTTTTCAGCACAGAATGAAGAACTTGAGAGTTAGCCAAGTTATGCTTAGTTCTAATAGGTTTATTTGTTCATCTGCACTTCTCTTGCAACAAACTGTTCCCTATGCGATAAGGATGGTGTCTGTGGTGACCACCTCTCTCCTACTGGTCCTAGGTGTACCGCTTTCTTCCTTGAGGGTTTGGGGGGACTTGAGTGAGATTGGGCTTGGGCCTCTGCAGTCCAGTGGAGCCACTTGGCTGATGAGTGCTATTCTGTTGGATTAGTGATTCCGAGACTTGGGCTCTCCTCTTTAGAGCTTCTTTGGACATAGTGCCCAAAGAGTAGCCCAGATATGCGTGGCAGACCTTGCAGGCTCATTTGGTATACATTAAGGAGTCTGGACTGAGCCAAACAACCCTGACATACTAGCCAAGTCTCTCAGCACAGAGCCTCGGCGTATGGATAAAATCTGGATGTCTTTGGCAACCAGCAAATGAAAGAGCATGTACAATACTGTGGGCTGTGCTACCATGTCCAACCATAAGCAAGCTGGCAGAGGTTAACTCAACTCCTTCTCGTGACACTATACTGGACCCAAGTTGTGTGACTTGGTTTTCGGTTCCTTCTTCAGCTGAAAAAGTCCCCCTCCTTTATATCATGGTGTGTGTCATATTTGCCTATTTAGCATTGGCATAGGGAGCAGGGCACAGGGGTCCTGTAGGTCCATGGCAACTCGAGCTTAGTGCAATGTGTTCTGCTGGAATTGTTAGCAGGCTAAAGGTGATGGACAAGTGGTTTCTGGTTAAGCAAGATGTGGCTGGTGGTGTTAAGTGATGAAGGGATAGAAACACTCTGGCATATTAGTGCAGTTAGCTCCAGATGTGTGAAGGAAAACTGGAGGGATGCACTGCTATCCTGTAAAAACTAAGCTGATTTAGAGGTCTGATGGACTGGCTCGTTGGCAGTGCAAGGTCAATGGAGGCTATAGAAAATTTGGATAAATAAAAATATAAAAAAGGAAAATTTTAAAAGAACTAGAATATTGTGTCCCACACTTAAAATATCGGTCTGACTGAAATAGATGTGTGATGCCTTATGACAAACTGCTCTGCTTAGGGGCCCCATTCAGCTGTTCTTCTAAGATAAGGAAATGAATGAATACACA